GGTGAACATCGAAGGGTTGCACCACTCACGTAGCAACCGTTGGCCGCGCCTGTGGCCGCTGCGCGTGTTGCGCGTGCCGCGCGGCATGCGTGCCACGCAGGCGCTGCACAGCTCCTTCTCCCCGCTGGCGAGCCGGTTCGGCCGGTCAAGTGCCAGCAGTGATGAAGATGAGCTGCCCGAGGCACCTGACATGACGCCGTGGGAATTCTCGCAAATTGATGAGAAAAGACCTTTCCCATGCAGCTATCCTGGATGCTGTTCCTTTCATGATGCGGACAATGGATATTGTGAGGAGCATCAATGGTTTGGGTTTGGCAGTAGGCTGTGCCGTGCTATGAATACTACGCGCCAGCATCTTGAGCTTGCGCTCCTCATCCTCATACAGGCAGCGGCAGAAGTTGAGAGCCGTTATCTTTTGCTTCTGATTGCATTCAGCTTGGCTCCTGTAGCTTGTTACAGCATATGGCAGTCCACTGGCATTGCTACGACATCTGCTTTTCTGCTGTTTGCCTGTTGTTTACTCTTGAGTATTGGATACACCACGGTTCGTTTGAACCGGATGCAAGAGCTGTCGAAGAAGCTGGAAGTACAATCGGAGAGCTTGTATGCAAAGTATCTACAGCCAAACATGACGACCTTGCTCGGTGATGATGTCCAAGAAAACCCTTTCCAGCGCATCAACAGTTTGAAAGAGCACTTTCTGGAAGCGCGAAGACACTTTGAGAAGTTCAATCGCGAACTGTGCCTGCCATTGCGTGACTTTTTGGATGCTCAGCCAGGGTTTGCGTTGAGTCACAGGGTGCAGCCAGCGCTGAAGTCACTCCCGTTGGCACAAGAAGCTGTTGCAAAGAGAGGTGATCCCAATCAGGTTCTGGATCTCTTGTATTGCGAAGTGACATTTGCCGATTTCGACAGTCTGTCACATGCCTGGCAATTTCTTCGAACAAGAGTTGAGGGTGATGACTTGAGTGGTGTGGAGATCGCCTGTATGTACGATTCCTTTGCCCTTGCCCATAGTGACTTGAGATGTTCAGAGCTTGTCTGCCGGGTGGACGGCTATTTGGCCACCCTCCGATTTTTCGTCGCACCCTTGCGTGAGCTGCAGCTGCAAGTGGATGCAGTGCACAGCCTGGCTCAGCAACTCGGGTTAAGCGATGCGCGCAGAGAAGCCTCCCATGGACGACCGCGCAGGCATCCATTGCTGGCCACGGCCATGTTTTCCATGCGTGTCATTGCTTTGCTCGCAGCAATGTACCTTGGTGGACAATACTTTGTTCGCTACAGCCCTTCATCATTCCGTTCAACAGTGCAGCTGTTTAATCAAGTATTTGCTTTGAAGCAGCTTGAGCAGCCTGGTGAGCTGCCTGAAGAGCATCGGTTCAATTGGTTGCCATCCGTTGTCCTTTCCTTGCCATATCTAGCGCTGATACTTGTTCTTGTGTGGGACTTGGGCAGCTTTCAGGCAAAATATCGGAAGCTAAAACCCACTCAGCTGTTGTATGAGAAGTACTTTGGTGTGCGAGGGCGGTTCTACAGCATCAAGGTGGCCATACTACAGCTTCTAACTGTGCTGCTCCAGGCTTTTGGAAAGCTTCAGATCTTGGGTGGAATCGTATCCCTTTCACTGCAGCAATCAAAACTCTCGGATGTGCTTGAACGCTGCTTTTGGACTTTTGTCGGCTTCCTTTGCCTGAACAGCCTCTATCCAAGCATTTTATTTGTGTACCCCTCAAGGAAGTGGGCACGACTGGGGGGGGCAATGATGGATGCTATTCTTGATATGGCCTACACCATCACGTACCTCGTTTTTACCTTGCTTGCCATCTATGAGCTAGGATTGGAGCAAGAAATATCAGGGAATTTCGGTGATGAAGAAGCAGTGAAGTTTACTGCGAAGTTGGATCCAGCTTTGGCCTTTCCTTCGGACTTCTTGGGATACTTTGCTGTCTACTATTCGGTTGCCCATGTTTGTACCGTTTGCCGTGCTCTAGAAGGGGTAGGACGTTCAACAATGCCACCAAGCTTGCAAGGCTCTACTTCATCACTGTTGCGCAGAGCAAGTCTTCTTCGTCTCAAGAAATGCAAAGTAGTTTGCAAAGCACTGCACCCAATATGTCAACTGGCAGTGTTTTTAGTGTTCTGTTCTGTACTTGTGTCCTTTTGTTTAGAACCGTTTGGCCTGTTTTGTGTTCTCCTTTTTGTAGTTGTTGGAGAGGTTGCAATGTAGCATTTCTTCTGTTCCACAGTGCAATGATTCTGTAGGTACTCACCTGTCTTGCTGATAGCCATCTTCAGTTTGCTGCTTTCAAGCAACTCCTACCCTGGTCACTCAAAAGACTTCGGATGCTTTCCATGCCATTGCTCGAAAGACTTTGGTGACTTTCAACAGCTTGAAAGCTGTGGCCTCGCAGGTGTTCTCCGCCTTACAGATGTGAGTCTAAGCGGTAAGAACATCAGCAATGTCAGAGAGGGCGCCTTTGAGTCTTCGCGTCGCTTGCAGCGCTTGTCGCTTTCGGGGAATCCCTTGTATTTTTTGCCCAAGAAGATCTTTTGGCCGCTCAAAGACTTGCAACTCTTGGACCTGGGTCGGATGGGTTTGCAAAGTGTAGAGTCTGAGACTTTCGAAGGTTTGTCTGGATTGAAAGTTCTTTCGCTCAGTCAAAATGAATTGCAGCAGCTCCCAAATGACCTCCTTTACCCAATGCCAGCCTTGGAACAGTTATTGCTCGGGGGCAACATTGAAGGGCGCACACGCATTGATGGAAACCAATTGGAAGCTCTGCCGGCTGATCTTTTTCAGCGCAGTCCTTGGCTGAGGGTTCTGGACCTTAGCGAGAACCAATTGAGGGCACTTCCAGCACAGATATTTGGACACACCCCGTTGCTGCGGACGCTTGACCTGGGATCCAACGATCTCATAGAGTTGCCCTTAGACGTTTTCGAGGGTTTGAGCAATTTGCAGACACTTGACCTGGGGGGAAACAACTGGATCATTGAGTTGCCCTCAGGCATTTTTGCCGGCTTAAGCAATTTGCGGATGCTTGATCTGGGACGCAACAATCTCAGAGAACTGCCCTCGGACGTCTTTAAAGGCTTGAGCAATTTGCAGATGCTTGATCTGCGACATAACGTGCTCAGAGAGTTGCCCTCAGATGTCTTTGCAGGCCTGAGCGAGTTGCAGATGCTTTACCTGGCATGGACCTGGCTCACAGAGTTGCCCTCGGGCATTTTTGCAGCCTTGAGCAATTTGCAGACGCTTCACCTGCAAGAAAACTCGCTCAGAGAGTTGCCCTCAGATGTCTTTGCAGGTTTGAGCAAGTTGGAGACGCTTGATCTGGGATTCAACTGGCTCGGCGAACTGCGTTCAGATGTGTTTGTAAAGGTATTGTCGGGCCTGAGCCGCCTCAGCCATTTGCAAACGCTTGACCTTCGCAGCAACTT